GCTGAACACAGGTGGTTGGTTTTGGCAGTTTTCAGTTGGCATGCTTCTCTCTAACTGTAGCTGTACTTGCATGAATAGATATGGTTTTCAGAGGAATAGATGAACACAGCAGTTTACAAATAGATCTGAACTGAGCAAAATAAAGGTTCTTACCTAGTTCCAGGGAGCTAGTCAGCTAGTCAGCTAGCCAGCAGCAGCCTTCGAAGAGTGATCTGGCATGAGTAGATCTGTAATCCGCTATACTGCATCTACCAGCAGACATTGATGTTTCCTGCAGCATCAGTCATCTTTATTTAAATCAGTGTTTTGAAAGTTTCTCTCCAGAAGAGTTTTCCCCCAGCTGGACCAAAAAAAAGATACTTGTCTGTGTCGCAAAATGTTATATATGAGCCTTTCCTTAATGACTGTCCTATAACCCTTTAAATGAGAATTGAACCTTTCTAATGGTAATAAATGAGTATAAATAGTGATCATCCTTTTTCTAATAAATTTTATAGTAGCAAATGAGCAAGCTCCCCTGGCCAAATGAAGGGAGTTGCATTCAGTGAGTTTTGGGCTATTTCCAGTGTGAATAGTAAAACAGACTGATTATTTCCTCCTAGTTCTAAGAATTAAGCTCAGATCTATTTTGGTCTGATTTTTGTCAGTATTTTACTAACAAACATCAGGCTGCAAACATAACATTACAAATATATTGTTATGAGCTTAACTGTACTTATTTGCTGTGTGCCTTCTGCTGTAGACAAGGTGTTCATTTTTTCTCACTTTTTCCCCCTAACAAATGCAGCACAACATGCCTTTCTGGAGGATATCAAGTCATTCGGACCTCTTGGCTCTACATCAAGCACTGGAACTAGAGTATTTGTAACTGTGTTCTATAGTTGGCGATCCTTTTTTATATTTCAAGTACACTGAATTTTTATGTGTGATTCGATGCCTCTGGCTTAACACATATGAATTGTCTTAAGAAGGGAAGAAATATTTGGAATGAAAATTCCACAATGAAGAATTCAGATTGCTGAATGGAGTTAAAATGTTAGTGCTACATAAGGAAGCTCTATGGTCTTATATATGCAACATTTCTAACAAATAAAAACCTATGGAGGTTGCTGGTACACACCAAATGAGCCCTAACGGGAGCGAACAAAGGACTCATAATGGCAAAGCACCAACATGCGTTTTCTGACCGACAAGGTGGTGGTCAACAACATTCCTCAATATGGGGTATATTCTCAGCACTGAGGTTTGAACCAGACTTTAGCCTACCTAACCCAGAAAATCTGAATTGGAATGCACTCAGACTGTATAATGACAATCCTGTCTAGACCTGTAATTTGTGTAAATTATTGATGAAAATAATTTACTGTGACTTTATTAGCAGCTGATTTTTGGAAGTGGATGCAATTTTTCTTTTTTTGGAGGGGTGGGGAAGGGTTATATAATATTGTCTCTTTTATAAGTTTGGCAAACAGAATGTGCATAATGATGTGTTGTGCCTTAAAGACAAGACCGTGTTTGTGTGTTACAATGTAATTTTGGTTAAAAACTATGTAGATAAACAAAAAAAGTTGACATTTTTTGACATGACCAAATTTCAAATTCAAGTAATCAAAGAGCAGGGCTGCATCAAAAGCATTTAAGTATTTGTTTCAGTAAGAAAAAATAAAGGAAAGTTTGTGGTTTTTATTTGGTTTCTGAATAGTTCCACTGAGGCAAGTTAAGAGGCTTTTGGGAGGCTGAAATAATATTGGGGACCGTTACCTTCAAAGCTAAAGCAATTGCTTAACATCTTGAACATCCTTTCTTCATTCTCACATGAGAAAACTAAGAGCCATATTCATTAAATTACTTACAGGCTACAGAAAAACCTGCATAGGGAGCATCTACCATTTAAACAAAACCAAATTAAGTCTCTTCCATTTCCCTCTTTCCCTGGTTAGGAATGGCATGGGGGGGGGGTCATATTCCACACTGTAGTCCTACCACCCCACATCTGATTTCAGTGTCATGAAGCAACTGGAAGTGTTAATAACTTTTGTTTATTGTGGAGGATGGAAATTGCTCTTCCTTGATACTGTACACCCACTTGTTCTGACTGTATAGAGAACTTGTCATGATAGGATGTGAAATGCAGATGCCAGGGACACCTATGTAAGGACAGTACTCAATAATGATATGCAGTCCTCCTGGTCTTTACTGTGAAACCAACCTATTTCTATTCAGGAGTTGCTTATAGGGAAATTACTTGTTGCTTATTTAAACTACATTGACCATGTCAAAGTCAGGTCTTCGGGTGAAATCCTGGCCCCATTGAAGTCAATGGCAAAACTCTTTTATAACTAAGTAAAAAGAAATTCCTTTGCCTCCATTGGAATTTTGTACGCAAGTCATTCAGACAACAGGCTGGTATGCTACTGCCACAAGTTTTAAATGTGGTCTTGCCACACATTAAATTATTATATACCTCCAATTACAGAAGAAATGTGTGTGTGTGGTGGGGGGGGGGGATTCCTTTTTCCCCTCTTGAAAGAGGCCTATGGCTGGGAATTATTTACAGATAGTTTATTCTTACAGTATGGTACCTGATCAAATTTGGCCTAAAAATAAAATTTGATGTAAAGCGGTTAAAATTTTAAGTTTCCATTTTTTTTATTACAGTGAAAATTAAGTGAAGCAATTTTAAATATACTGAAAGACTTAAATATACTAATGTCTTCAAAATCATTTTAATATGTGCTTTTAAAAAGGAACATGGCAGCTATAGTAACATGTAGTCCACAGCCTGCCATCTATTTAAAAAAAAATTCATGTCATGAAAGTTATGCATATGCTCCTATGGGAGGGTATGGCTCAGAGTGATATAAAATTTTGTCAAGTATCAGAGGGGTAGCCCTGTTAGTCTGAATCTGTAAAAAGCAACAGAGGGTCCTGTGGCACCTTTAAGACTAACATAATTTTGGTACGTTTTTGTACAGCATCTAGCACAGTGAAGCCATGATAATATTGGGACTTCTATGCATTAGCTTCATACTATTAATAATAATTCACAAAACCTTACAGCACCTCACCACTTAAGGGTTTAGCCCTAAGCCATTTACACTTCACACACAATACCAAAGCTCTTTCCAGAATCCAGATGCACAGATATACTCTACTTAAGGAAAAAGTAACACAGGTGGTATCTTTAAATACAGTCTCATAGCATATTCTTACTTCGATAAGGCTGCCTGCATGACAACTAGAGGCATGAATAACCAAGGCAGATATTTTACTCAAATTGGACAGTTCCAAATCGATATGGTTGGACTTAAGTAAGCTTTGGTCATTTGGACTTTGAGTGCATTTTAATTCAATGTATATAATACAATAATAACTGCCTCCCTTCAATCCCTACCCCCAAAATGAATACAATGTTATGTTTGCAAATACTATGTGCAATTAAAATATAGATTATTGTGCCTTTTGCAGTTACTGTAGCAATCTAAAGTGAGTACAGTACTTGAACATTAGGCACTTTTCAATACTGCACTTGCAAGATATAAATACAGTGCAATTTCAATCACAGAGTAAGCAATATCTGAAATATAAGGGGTAAGTTAGTACAGTTCAGTATAAAAAAAGTAAAGTGAAATCTAGAAGCAAAGCTCTGTCTTAGACACATTTGTTGATTGTGCACAAAGATATAGGTGATGGCTGACTCCCAGAATTGGATTTTATTAGTATCCAGTATAAGCAGCAATATATGCACCAAAAACATGTTCCAGTCTAAGCACTGACACAGGAGATCTGCCCATATCAAAATCCTGGATCCAAACACACCTGAACATTCGGGGGGAGGCGGGGTTTGAAATCCAAATCCCAAATTTAAGTGTGTGGTGGATTTGACCCTTGCCAGGAAGACTACATTTTAGCGGTGAACTTGGATCCAGCTCCAGGGTTTTAGTTCAGGAGCCAGCTCTACCTTATACCAAGCATATGCTTTAAATGAATATGGTATTTAGTATCTCTAAAGAGGAATTTTTTAAGTGGCATGAGCCAAAATTGTGTTACGACTCCCAGCAATAGCAGCATTTTGGAAATTTAATTGAAGCCAAGTGTCTGTCATGTATTAGCAAGTTCTAGTTTATTGGGGCCTACCTAATTTAAGATAATGTAAATTAATATTAAAAGCTTGTAAAATATATGTACATCTTTACTACTTCTCAATAAATACATTTGGAACTGTTGTCATTTTCTGTACTATACTGCCCTGGAAGATTTCTGGTTGTGTGTTTGAAACCCTCATTACACAGAAGTCTCTTCTAAGGGCAGGGTCTCAATCACTACAGCTTATCTGTTTTCTTAATATGAATTCCTGATTCATTTATTTATTACCTGTAACATTTTTATGCTCCTGTCTTTTCTACGTGCAAATGCATCAAAACTTGGGTTGTTTTACACAGGAGACAGTTTGAACGACTGAAGAATTAACAGGTAATCTGGTCAACAGTTCAGCCCTCATGTGAGTTCCCCTTATGGCAGTATCTTTGTTGCTATTGCTTCATGGCCCCCTGTAGCTCAGAAGTAGTGATCCTGAGCTGGAGGAGGGAGTCACTCTGCAGAAGTTTCCCATCATTTGATTTATAGACTGTCATTGGTACTTAACCGCTCACTCATGCTCCTGCATGAAGCAAGGGAACAGCAATGACAGATGTTTTCGAATGGGAAATGGGCTCAGGGATATAATTTATTAAGGACTGACCATGACATAAGGCCCTGATCCTGCAAAGAATTAAGCATATACATAACTTTATGCAGGTGGACCAGTCCCATTGACGTCAAAGTAATGAATATGCTTAAGTTTTTGTAGGGTTTTAGACCTAAGCCTCCTTAGAAACCAGACTTCTCTTTGGTGTCTAGAAGTGATAAGGGCCAGATCCTCAGCACATAAAAATCTGCTTTTATTGAAGTCAGTTGTCAATGGAGCTACACCAGTTGAAGACCTGGCCCTAGGTAAACAACAGTAAGGGTGGGGGAGGGGGAATAATTAACAGAAGGTGCACATCCTTCTATCCTATAAAAAAACCCTGAAAGAGTGCTAATCAAAAGACTAAAAATTGCTTGTATTAGTTTGTGCTGGATTAAGGATGGGTGGGGACAGAATATTTGTCTTCCTCCACCTCCTCCTGCAGAAGTCAACAGGTGGTAAATGGCACTAGACCTCTACAGATTATATAAGCACCACTCTGCCACAGCACTTTCTGTCCATGATTTTTAATAGTGAAGCACACGTAGGTTAAGTAGCTTTATCAATGGTCGTTACAAAGAGCTCCAGCTTATGCACAAAGCACATGTCACCAAGCAAAAGCCTTCTAAAAAGTTCACATCCTTTGAAGCATATGAAAATATATACTTTTAGTTGCTTGTTGGAGACCTATGGATGTAATTTACAATGTGGGTAGGATGGACAGTAAACTTAGTAAATTGAACCATTACTGACAGTCTTCAGAAACTAGTCTTCCAGAGCTCGTTTATGGCTTAGCATAAATCAGAGAAAACCATTTTAGTACCATTTCAGAAAACCCAAAGGAGCCAACCTGCTCCTATTCACTAGTCATTAATAGAAATTAAGACCATAAGAGCGGCCATACTGGGTCAGACCAAAGGTTCATCTAGCCCAGTATTCTGTATTCCAACAGTGGCCAATGGCAGGTGCCCCAGAGGGAATGAACAGAACAGGTAATCATCAAGTGATCCATTCCCTGTCACCCATTCCCAGCTTCTGGCAAACAGACGCTAGGGACACCAATCCTGCCCATCCTGGCTAAAAGCCATTGATGGACCTATCCTCCCTGAATTTATCTATTTCTTTTTTGAATCCTGTTACAGTCTTGGCCTTCACAACATCCTCTGGCAAGGAGTTCCATAGGTTGACACTGCATTGTGTGTGTGGGGGGGGGAACCTAACTTTTGTTTGTTTTAAACCTGCTGCCTATTCATTTCATTTGGTGACCCCTAGCTGTTGTGTTATGAGAAGTAAACAACACTTCCTTATTCACTTTCTCCACACCTGTCATGATTTTATAGACCTCTATCATATTTCCCCCCATTCTCCCCATCGTCTCTTTTCCAAGCTGAAGAGTCCCAGTCTTATTAATCTCTCCTCATATGGCAGCCATTCCATACCCCTAATCATTTTTGTTGCCCTTTTCTGAACTTTTTCCAATTCCAATACTATCTTTTTTGAGATTGGGTGACCACATCTGCATGCAGTATTCAAGATGTGGGCATACTATGGATTTATATAGAGGCAATATGATATTTTCTGTCTTATTATCTATCCCCTTCTTAATGATTCCCAACATTCTGAGTGGATGTTTCAGAAAACTATCCACAATGACACCAGGATCTCTTTCTTGAGCGGTGCCAGCTAATTTAGACCCCATCATTTTATATGTACAGGTGGGATTATGTTTTCCAATGTGCATTATTTTGCATTTATTGACATTGAATTTCATCTGCCATTTTGTTGCCCAGTAACCCAGTTTTGAGAGATCCTTTTATAGCTCTTCACAGTCTGCCTGGGACTTAACTATCTTGAGCAGTTTAGTATCATCTGCAAGTTTTGCCACCTCACTGTTTACCCCTTTTTCCAGAGCATTTATGAATAGTCCAAGTACAGACGCCTGGGGGACACCACTATTTACCTCTCTCCATTCTGAAAACTGACCATTTATTCCTACCCTTTGTTTCCTATCTTTTAACCAGTTACCAATCCATGAGAGGACCTTCCCTCTTATCCTATGACAGCTTACTTTGCGTAAGAGCCTTTGGTGAGGGATCTTGTCAAAGGCTTTTTGAAAATCTAAATACACTGTATCCACTGGATCCCCCTTGTCCACATGCTTGTTGACCTCCTCAAAAAATTGTAATAGATTGCTGAGACATGATTTCCCTTTACAAAAACCATGTTGAGTCTTCCACAACACATTATGTTCATGTGTATCTGACAATTTTGTTCTTTGCTATAGTTTCAACCAGTTTACTCGGTACTGAAGTCAGGCTTACGGCCTGTAATTGCCTCTGGAGACCTTTTTAAAAACTAGCATCACATTAGCTATCCTCCAGTCATTTGGTACAGAAGCTGATTTAAATGATAGGTTACAGACTACAGTTAAAAGAAGAACAGGAGGACTTGTGGCACCTTAGAGACTAACAAATTTATTAGAGCATAAGCTTTCGTGGACTACAGCCCACTTCTTCGGATGCATACAGACTACAGTTAGTAGTTCTGCAATTTCACATTTGAGTTCCTTCAGAACTCTTGGGTGAATATCATCTGGTCCTGGTGACTGATTACTGTTTAGTTTAATCGATTTGTTCCAAAACGTCCTCTAATGACACCTCAATCTGGAACATTACCTCAGATTTGTCACCTAAAAAAAAATGGCTCAGGTTTGGGAATCTCCTTCACATCCTCAACCGTGAAGACCAATGCAAAGAATTCATTTAGTTTCTCCGCAATGGCCTTATCATCCTGGAGTGCTCCTGTAGCACCTTGATGGTCTCCAAGTCCCCATTGTTTAGCCGACTTCTTGCGTCTGATGTACTTAAAAAATTTTTGCTATTACTTTGAGTCTTTGGCTAGCTGTTCTTCAAACTTTTTTGGGGCCTTCCTAATTATGTTTTTACACTTCATTTGGCAGAGTTTATGCTCCTTTCTATTTTCCTCACGAGGATTTAATTTCCACTTTTTAAATGATGCCTTTTTACCTCTCACTGTTTCTCTTACTTTGTTATTTAGCCACAGTGGCTCTTTTTTGGTTCTTTTACTATGTTTTTTAATTTGGGGTATACATTTAAGTTGAGCCTCTATTATGGTGTCTTTAAAAAGTTTCCATGCAGTTTGCAGGGATTTTACTTTTGGTGCAGTACCTTTTAATTTCTGTTTAACTAACCATTTTTGTGTAGTTCCGCTTTCTGAAATTAAATGCTACAGTGTTTTATTTAGACTTCTAGCATTGGTATATAAACACTTTAAAATCTTGTCACTTTTTAGCAGTCTCCTATTAAGTGATGTAATAGAATGAGACTTTTTTCATTTGACTGTTTCTCATCAGATCCTACCTGTATTTTATCATCTTCTATCCTCTCCTACTTACTAGGACATAGAGAATCTCCATTAGTAGATACTCCTCCAAGGGATGTCTCGGTCTGAACCACGTGCTCCTCCACACTTATTAGCTTTCCCCAAAAAGCAGATGAAATATCATGCACTCAGAAAGTGTTTTGTTTGGTCTACAGCTTAGCACACCATTTCACAACAAATTCATGTTGAGAACCTCTTAGCTTCTATCACAGAGCTGCTAACAAAAAATACCCCAGTCTCACTAGGTATGATGCAAGCAGGAATGCCTGCTGCTTCCAATTCAAAGAAAATCTAACTGTAAATTACCAACAGAATCATATTACTTGCTACTTCCAGCAATTGCAACTGCATTATAGAACCCACGTCTGCAATATGGCCCCATGTGAGGCATTCGCATTAACGGGTTAATCTGATTCTCCAATTTCCATCCTCCCTGACCAAATAATTGATTCAAATCAAAATCAGAACTTCATTAGTGTAACTATGGTGCTCTGAGTTGATAACTGGATTTTGGCCAAGAGCCCAGGAGGCTCTGAAACAAGGCCATGTAAGGGAGCTAGTGTAAAGTTGTCGGTATTCCGTCTCTTTTGCCTCTTGCCTAGTAATGTTTTTGCATAAAGTACATGTTTGTATAAAACGTAAATAACTGTATCACTAACATTTTGACTTCTGGATTTCAGAAGTCTTTTACCAATCTCATTTGTTTTCTAAACGCATTTAGCATGTCTGATTATATTTTTACCATGCACTGAAAAAGATAAATGTGTGTATTTAATTAGATAGTAACATATTGGCAACAATAGAAGTAGTATTACTATCGCACCCACAACATGGTAAGTGCTGTCCAAACATATAATAAGATGCCCTTTGAGTCAAGGATAGGATGTCTACACTGCAAAAGACCAGAGGCAGTGAGTCACAGAACATGAATCACCTGACTTGGGCTTGCAGGGCTCACACTAGGGGGCTGAAAATAGCAGTGTAGATGTTCTGGTTTGATCTGGAGCTTGGGCTCTGAAACCTCATGATGGGAATAGGTCTCAAAGCTGGTGCTCCAGCCTGAGCCCAAATGTGAAGTACAGACATATTCAAAGAGTTCACAGTCTGAGCCACA